GCGTCCCCTCCCTGGCGTGGCAGCGGAGGGTGAAGTCACGCCATGTCCTGACGCGACCTCTCCCTCTCCGATAAATAAGTGCCAATGTTTCAGAGGAAAGCTGACGTGTGCTTGTTTGCAGGGACAGGCCTGACACAAGCACGGGAGCTGCTTTGTATCTGCTGGTCTCTGAGCTGGAGTCCTGCTGCTCTGATGGATGGCAGGTCTGCAGGGAGCCTCCAACCACCCGCGTCTGGCTCACTGAGAGCTGGAGACGGGCACCTGTGGGCTCCATCTCCACAGCGGTCAGACAGCACGGGCACCTCTGCTTGCATGTGGTGTGTGGTGGCTCATGGGGACTTTGGGCACACAGGTGACTTCAAAGAGAATTCACCCAGCCAAGCCATGGTGGGCTGCTGAGCAGCAGCTTCCTCCAGGACACACTGCCACGGAGAGCTCAGCCAGCCCCATGTCCCAGGAAAGGCACAGAGCATCTGGAGCAACAGAAACACTGCTCTCCTCTCCGTTCTTAACAAGGGACCTGGAAATTTCCATTTAAAGCACAAAAACATCTTCAAGCCCAGGTATGTTCAATCGATTTCAAGGGAAGGCAGATGCAAGGAATCCCGTGAATGGCCCAGCGGAATAAAGCCACAGCTAAAAATACACACAGATGATCTGCCCTGGTTATGGGGATTTGATGTGGAAGAAAGTTAAATTCTGTTGGTACAATAACACATCCCAGAGGTGCAAATTAAAGCCCTCAAAGAGGCTGTGTCACACAGCTACCACCTCTGAGGTGCCAGACCCAGCAGGGATCAGCTTTCCCCTGCAGGGGAGACACTAAAATTGCTCACAGGGTTTAATTCAGGAGATCCCCAGCGCATGCATCACTGTCAGCCTCCAGCAGCAACCGAGGCATCCGTCACAACCCGATTTTCCCAGGTAGTTCTGTGTCACTCTGCCAGCACCCGGCTCCTGGAGAGGGGATGACCAGGGCTGGAAAACACACCCTATCCTGCACCCGAGCACCCTACAGCCAAAATGGTTCCCTGAGCTCCCCATGGCACCTTCCAAATGCTCTCAGAGATTTTAGCCACCATTACTGTTCTCAAACATTGCTCTGTCTCTTCAAGAACTAAACACACTTTTGAAAATAGGGCTCAAATGCTTCTGACAATGCTGCCCACTGTTTGTTCTCAGTTTAATCTACGGACAATACCAAAAATGTTAATTCCCATTTTCATACATCCTTTCAGAAATGGTACAGTTTGCACTCACAGTTGAAATTCTGACTTGGGGGTGTGTGGCTTCTCTGTGTTACACTGTGAGGATTTCCCAAAAGGTATTTTTTCACATGCAACTTCACAGCTCAGCTTTGGAGACAAGATTAAGTGGTTCCAGTCAGCACATACCCCAGGGACAGGACACACCTGGATATGGAGTATCAACTGTCTCTCTACAATCCAAGTCACCTAAAACCCTCCCAAATGCAACCACAGCCTCACAGTTCAGGATCTGACCACAGTGAAGAGCAGCTTCTCTCCACTCTTCCCCTGTAGAATCTGTACAGTCACCTTTTTTTCTGGAAATCAATTACTTGTCCAGCAGAGTGTAGCAAGAGGGGATTACAGGTCATGTTTTCCATAATTATCCTCCCTGACACCGAGGAACTTTCAAATCGTACGTGTTAAGTAGGTCACAAGAGGGAACAGCAGCGTGATGGGCACTCAGCATCAGCCAACCTGAATTTTGAGAAAATCGGATACAGTCCAGTGCCAACCTGCATCCCAGCCCCTCATCCATATGCAGCCCGGTGGTGAGAAAAATATATAGACTTCCCTGATGAACCATAAGCTAAAATTAGAAACCATTCACGCCTGCAAAGCCACAGCTATCGCCAAAAGGAAAGTAGGTCACAGAATGGCTGGCTAACTTGATTTTCCGGCGTTTCTAGCTACTCTGTCCTCATGTAACCTCTCCTCTCCCATGGACTGTTTCTGGTCTCTCCTTTGTTCAGGGTATAACTGCACGCAGTGTGCGACTCCGGCCCAGCCTGGCAGGAGCGGTGGGAACGGGCACGGCAGCACCCGCGTGCTCGGTGAAGCACAGACCCGTGGTTCATGAAAAATTAAGCCAGAGCCAGGCAGAAAGCCCCTCCACGAAGCCACCGGCTCCCACCTGCTCTGGGATTGACACAAGGGCTGGCTTTCCGCCCCTTCCACAACATTGGTCTTTAAAAGATCATTTCAGGCTTTGCCAGCTCTTCTGGGGTGCTTTGCTCTCTCACCTCCTCCTCCTGAGGGCTGAATATCCTCTTTTTATTTGCATTTCTTACCGTGCGCTGCCTCCCTCAAGCCACAAGCCAAGAGATGCGAGTAAATCCGGCTTTCCTTCCCTTTGTGCGCGGGCTGGAGCCCTGGCTCAGCCGCTACCAATGCTTTTCCTACAAGCAGACCTCGAGGCGTCAACTTCACTGCTTTTCCACAGCACAGAAGAGGCAGAAAAGCTTAAAATCTGGCTCAGCGACCTTCTCCACTCTAGATCAATATGTCTCTTATCTGGCTCATGGCTCTTTGCTCCTACCAACTCACCTTGCAATTAAGCGTTAAGCCGCAGCAAAGCCACAGGTCAGCACAAGAGTGCCTGGGGCTCTCCCATGTCTGACAGACAGCTGGATACACCTGGAGGTTCTGCTGCCACCAAACCCACTCAAAGCAACATGATATCCAACCAGCAGCCGCTCTTTTCCACCCATGATCTCAACTGATATTGTTCCCAAGTCCTTTCCTCTTCCACCTTTTCTCCTCCTGGCCCGACAGGAAGAGCAGTCAACACCAAACTGCATCCCAAATGTGTCCAATATGTGAAAGGCTGAAAGCCGGGATATTCTTTAGAAGGACAGTTGCATTCTGTATCCCACCTTCGTCACGTACAATGAGGGCAATGCTCAGCACACCCTTCCTTTGCAGCCCACAGCTTGGCATGTCCCAGCTATGGTACTTGAAAGCTCCTTCCATCACCCAGCCTCAGCCATCACACTGGGCCAGCAAGGCTGTCGCCTCTCCATTGCCCATGGATAGATGCTGCCTTCTCCAAAGGAGGAACCTCCCTGCAGCCCGCTATGGTTTCTGTCAAGCCAAAGGGAAGGTTGTTTGGTTTGAGTCTCCTACCCACAATCAGGCTTGTTACATGCTACACGCAAGGGGACTTTACAAGAACAGGGAAGAATCGTCATTCACCCGTCCCAGGGATCACACAGACACGAACATGGAGCCAGGTTTGAAATTATGCAGACACTCGGTGTCTGACGTGACCTTCACTTGCTGAGCACCCACCTGGAACAAGTGCACCTATCATGAAGGTTCATAGTGAAACACTCCTGGGACCAAGGCTGGCTCTGAGGATCAGCCCAGCACTGACAAAGGGATGCCATCAGCTCTGAGCACTCTGTGTGACAGTGTCCCAGGTATTATGGTCATGCACTTTCAAAGAGAAATGTAGAACTCCATGCTTGCTCTCCACACTCCCTGCCATCACCCATGGAACAGGGCAGCAACCCCAAGGCACTGCCCTGAGCCATGATAAGGCTTTGAGAGCATACCCTGTCTGCCATGGAAAAGGTGATGGGAGACTCAGGGAGGTGGGAGGGAACGTGTGACCCTTCTGCTGCATGGGCAGTGACAAGAAGTGACAAAGCAGGACACTCAGCCCTGAGCCAGCTTCAGCTAACAGGGACTACTACGATGCAGCCTGTTAGAGATGCAATGGCTGAAGACCTCCTTTCCCTCCTGCATCAGCACCATGACCCATATTTCCTCCCCTTGTAACATGGTCCAGCTACACATGAGTATCCAAGGAGGGTAAGGCTCAAGACATAAAAATGTTTGAGAGCTCCTTTCTTTGAATCTCACTCCTTGCCCAGGAGGCACAAGCCATCAAGCCCAAGAACCCCAGAGAGGGCACTTGGTGGTGAGAATGGCTTTGAGGAACACTCAGCACCTGCCCCCAAAGCCCAGTGCTGTAACGCTGGTGCTTCCTAATGCTTCAAACACATCGACCTCAGCCTTCACCCACTCGCACAACAGACCGTGCCAGTGCTGGGTTTCCCACTGCTCAGGGAGAGAAGCAGATGGAAAAAGGAAAACCAGGAAAATTGCACTGCCTGAGAGCGCAGGGTAGGCGATTTTTTTCTTTTTAGGAGTTGGGCACCTGGATTTCTGCAGCTCCCAGTGAAATCGCAGGCCTTGCAATTCAAAATAATTAGCGACTGGTAGTTTTCCTTTTATGCAAAATCATCCTTTTTATCCAACACCTAAATGAAAATGAATATGCTTGATTATCTACCAAAGGGCCCAATTTCCGAGCATCACTCCGATGCACACAGCAAAATTCATGTCTCCTCGGGCTGCTATTACAGGCAATGGCTGACAAATGAGCGGTCAAGGCAGAGATCCAGAGCCAGGGATGCCAGCCTGACCTTTGTTAATGCTATTTACAGCATCCAATATCCACAAATCCAGCCGTGACTGCATCCACATCCCTTACGCTCCAGCCTGGAGGGCTCAGGGGCAGCCAGGAGAGCTCATAGCTGGCCTGTCAGTATTGGAGCACCACAGACATCCCCTTCCATCCATGCAGCCCACCCCACCACACCAAAGCCCATCCTATGAGACAGCTTTCGACCAGGTTCACTCCCAGGAGAGAGGATGAAACAAACTATTTTACAGAGAGGAGTCTGAAGCATCTCCTGAACATATCTAAGGCTGATCACAGAAAACCCCCCAGGCAGGTTCTTCGGAAGACATTAGTGCTCATCCACAAAGACAGAGCAAGCTCCTCATGGCTTGGCCCTCTGTGGTCACTGTCCCGACAGGGCTCCATGTATCCCCCTTCCGTGGCCTCCACCCCAGGGGTAATGCCCAAGAGAATCCCCCACCTGGCTCTTACCAACCTCCCATCCCTGGCCAGGGTGACACCGCACGATCACGCGTTCGTACTTCCATCATTTCCAGACTCACCCTGTTCTCGTCGTAGATGATCTGCACCAAGCTGCGATGCTTGGACTCGATAGGAGGAGGGGAGATGGGTTTTTCAGGCTCTGGTGGTTTGGCTGCTTCTTCCTCCAACTGTTGCTGTAGAAGAAGAAGGGGGAGGAGGAGGGTGAGTCACAGCAAGAAACGCAGCCGCCCTCGTCCACACGAGACTCTCTATGATGCCGCGACCGAGGCAGAAACCGCCATGGCAGGAGACTTCCTGCGAGACATGGGCAGGCTGGGGCTGCAGGGGGACGGGGAGAGGGAGGGGAGCTGCACAGCAGCCCCTGCCACGCAAGCGCAGCGCTGGCCTGCCCCAGGCACCAGCCTCGTGCTGGTGGGTCGGTGCATTTTAGGCACAGAGGTTGAGGACCTGCCTCAGAGGAGCCTCCTGGAGCAGGCCTGAGGCTGGAAATAACGATTTCACTGGAAGCCCTTAAATGAAACAGAGCTCCAGCCCAGCTCCCTGCTGCTACCTGCCTCTGGAGCTGCTGCTGTGTGCAGGGACCGGTGGAGGAGCCTGCAAGGCTGCTCTCCACCTTCGGCTTCTCTTCCAATGGAGCAGTTGGAGAAGATGCCTCAGGATGACTATTCTCAATTAAATGACTTGGGCACCAGCCACCCCTGCACTTTAGAATATCACCGTGATCAGCAGGTAAACCTGACTTTCCACCTGCTCCTCCGCCTCTCCCAACACTGCGATGCAGGAGGAGACATCCAAGCCCTTCCTGTAAGTTTGAGGAACTGCTCAGCTGAAAGAGGAAATCACGGATTCCTCCAGGCTCCTCCTGGGGCCAGCCTTGGAGGAGGGAGAGCCCAGCCGTGCACAGCAGCTGTGGGGCAGCACAGGCACGGGAGAGGGAGCAGCTGTCAAAAAACGCTCAGGATTTTTTTTCCCTGCTTGGCTCTGAATCTCTGAAAAGTACAAATCATTTTACTCTTTTCCTCCAGCTAAAGTATCCCCTGTTGAAGCATGGGAAAATCGAGAGAGTCTTGTAGTAGGAAGCAAATGTACTTGGGACTTGGCTTGCACCAGAGGCAAGTGCACCACTGACCTCCCAGAGACAGCAATGGCTGGTGATCTGAGAAGAAGGTGGGCACCTACTCCTCCTCCAGATCATCTCTGGTCCTGCTGACAACACCTTTGGCACACTAAGGCAGTAGGATGCAGTCCAAGAACGCACTTATATAGGTCTACTGGTTTGGCCGAGAAAACCCCTAAATTGAGTGTGTTTCAATAGATGAAGGACCCCATGCTGTGGGCTCCACCTCCCCACAGGTGGACACCTTTTCCCACAGAGGGAAAAGCAGAAGCATGAGGAACACTGAGATATAGCCAAAAGAAGCAGGCTCTGACAGAGGCAGGAGGGCCCAGGTCCCCTACATTACCATCATCATGCCCACCTTGAGGACTTAACCTCAAGGTTACTCCAGCCATGAGTGAGAAGCTTTCTGTGAAGCCACAGCTGAAATCACGTGCTGCAAAGCAGTACTCGGGCACCTGCCTGCTCTTCCTTGGTGTCCTAAGGCACCCTACTACACATCCCATGGGACAAAATCCAAAACCTCCAAAGGATGAACCACCAAAAGGAATCAGACACATCTTCTACTTCTCTTGGGGAAAATATTTGTGTTAAAAAACAAAACAAAAAAAGTCAAGGCATCCGAAGCTTGGCTATATTGTTCTGGAAACCCACAAAAATTCTGCCAAGTGTGTGGTAAGGGATTTCAGACAAGAGGGTTTGATGGCCTATCAGGAAACGAAAGTTTGCCACTAAGTGGAGGCTCATTAAATGCAGCTCATTAGATGAAAAAATACAAATCTAATTATAGCTGAAATACAGTAGAGAATTAAACTCTACTCTCTGTGGTGTAGTGCTGTATGGTTATTAAAGGGCCAGATACTGGAGGTAAGGACGGGAGGAGGGGTTGGAGGCAGCACACCTGACTGCAGCAGGCTCAGCCCGCAACAGCTACTCCTGGGAGCCATGGGAAATGGCAAAGCAAAATAGGTCAGGGTTCCCAGACAGGGACAAAATAGATTTCTTAAAGGTCTGACATAAAAGCCAGGCTGGGACTGTGACCTTTACAGGGAGAGAAGCAGGATGAGAGATGAGTCTTGACGGCTCCACACTCTCTCCCTCCCCACATCCAGCAGTGGCCGCCTGAGAGCCCCCTCCTCTCCCCAAATGGAAGACAATGCAGTAAGTGTTGAAGGGATGCAAGATGCCATCATTAGCTATAGCCCTGGCTCCTACAGCACCCACAGGCCAACCGGCTTCCAAGTGGAGACGGTGCTCTCTCCAGGTAAGAGTCCCTTTGGCTGGACCACACATCAGAGGGGCCACTGGAGCCTGCAGTGCTGGCAGGAATGTGGGTGGCATCTCAGGAAGACCCCATCCCCGCACCTAGCGGCTCCTGTGCTGGAGGCACCTGCCTGATGAAGCCAGGGTTGTTCCACATGCACCCAGCTGCCATCCCCTGGGTACTGGGATGCTTTGTCTGCCCAGGGAATGGAGAGGCTTCCAGACACAGGGCATCTCTGAAAACCACTTTCCAAGAGACAAGGGGACAACAGAGGAAACTCAGCCAGAAGCAAGATGGAAGGGGAAACCCTGGAGCTCTTCTACCCAGCCAGCTCCACCTCCATCACCAGGTGGGAGTGTTGTACTCCCGGAGAGCCCTTTGCTGAGCTCGGCGCCCAAGGAGGCTCAGGCGCCACTGCAGAGAACAGCCCAGCAGTTTATTTCTCCTTCAGATCCCCGGTACTGCTGCCAGGAATAAATGCATAAGGATTATCCTTCCCTGTCAGGAAGAGGGGGAGAGAGGACTCAGCGAGAGATTTAAGCACATATGGTGCATGAATGAGCGGGGGATGGCTGACAGAGGTGGCCTCTTGCCAGGGGTGTGCAGGGTTTGGGGAAGGTTTCTCAGCTTGCTGAAGACATTTGCTTCTTGCAAAGTCCAGGCAGAGCCTTCCCTGCCATTTCTGGAACAACCAAAAAGAGGAAGATGGTGGTTTGGGGTCGGTTGGAATTTTTTTGTACAACCTTTCCATACAAATGTATTTAATTACCCTGAGAAGGCCTCCCAAAGACAGAGGGGGAAAGCATTAGGATATTCCGGCTGCATACAATTTCTCCCCTGCTCCACAGCCACTCCTGCAGGAGCAGTATCTGTTCCAGGCTGATTGCTTTCCCTTGCTCGTCCCCCTGTGCCGACAGCTCAGATGCACAGATGGACAAAACGTTCCCATCTCAGACAGGACCTCCCGCTCCAAAAACACTTCTTCCCAGATGTGCCAGCTCTGCTGGAGGACCAGGATGGGGAAGGCTCCAGCCAGAGGGGAAAGGAGGCCATATTGGGGGGGTCAGATTTGCTACCAAATGACTTTACCCCATGTGCCAAAAAAGAAAAAAATGAAAATAAAATAACAAAGGAGGGGAGGGGACTCTTTTACTGCCAACAGCCACTTTCACCTTCCTCTCCACTTAACAGAGCATTTTTGTGGGGAAGAAGAATCATAAAATTTGTTCACAGGGAAGAAGTAAAGCTACCAAGCAGCCAACAATAAAAAAACATTTCCTTACGGCAGGGCAGCTTGATTTTAATGGTAGGGAGCATATGCTCCGTCAGCGTCAGCAGCAGCTCCTCAGCATCCCTGAAAAGTCAGGCAGTGGATCACTGGAGTTGTCAGTCCTTCCCACTGCCATGAAAGGGACCTTCACTGCCATGCTGGGCACGTATCCCACTCGGGAAGCCTTTCTCCACAGTAGGAAATAACCATGGTTTGCACCTCCTTCCTCAAATGTGAGTTAAAAACGGACCAGCAGCTGGACTGCCAAGTGGGAGAGGACACCAGCATTTTGTCTGAGCCTCCTAGGAGCGAGAGGAGAAGGGCTGCCTTCACCCAGCTCCCACCAAAACCAGCAAGAGGAACCTCTGTGGTTTCCATCGCTCCAGATGTTCCTTTGGGCTCTGTGAGCTGCCAGACAGGGTTGCTTCCTCACACCCCCAGCACAGCTGTGTCTGCCCACTCTTGGTTCCCTCTCCCTAAGCACTCTGATGCCACTGCAGATATAAAGCAACACATAATAAAAAAGGGTCTTTTGCATTAATTAAACCATACTGTTTGAAAGCAAAACCAAAACATCCTGCTTTGTCTTGCAGGACAGAAAGGAACAGTGTTTGGTATGGGAAAACACAGAACTGTTGGGGAAGGTCAACTGCATGCTCATCCTCCAGGAGCTTTATCCAACAGCCCAAGTAGAGGTTTTGCTCCATTCCCAAATTCCTATTGCACACCCCTTGGGAAAGGTGGTTCCTTTCAGGCAGTTTGGGATTAGCAGTCATCAGGGAGGTTCAGAAACTGGCCCCAAGCAAAGAAAATAAAACTAGAAAGAGAGAGGCAGAGAAGTGATTTGCTTAAAGAAGAGAAAGCCTTTAAGTCTGTGGGTTTTTTCACAGACGTCCCCAAAGGTTTTGTCATATTAATCTCTTAATGGGTTTATGGTAATTGTGTACAAGCCAACACCAAGAGGCCCATCCTTCTGGTGGGGAGTGCTCCTGTGCAGGGGTAAAGCAGCAACCAGAAAGTTCAAATCCCTGGCTCAGGCACAGCCCAGACTGGAGCTGGACCAGACGCTGCTCATGGCTGCAGAGCTGGAAAGCCCCAAAGATGGGGCCTGGGTACACAGGAAGGGCCATTAGGATGTCACAGCAATGTTTTAAACAGCCCAGTCCTGAACACTGCCAGCAACAGCACTGGGGAGAGACAATTGCTGGAAAGGAAAAAGAAAAGACCTTGTGCTATGCTGGGCTGTTCAGACAACTCGGGGAACCCAGTCTGTGCTTCCAGCTCTGCTGCTGACCACTTGCATGCTCATGGGCAAGTCATCAAGGACATATTTTTCTCCCTTTAAGGTTCTCTGACAGGCAAAGAGCCCACAGGCTGGATTTCCAAAGCTCCCTCCCTCATCTTGCAACTACCAGCTCCAGATTGCTGGCACAGCAGTGACCTCCCATGTCACAACAGGGAGCAGGGATACAGATGATCCTGGTGCACTGGCACTGCCACTTCCCCTCTGTGGACACGCATGGGCAAGGACAGGGCATAAGGTGGCACACAGAACCAAGGACGTGTGCTCCCCTGCAGACTACAGCTTCTTACCTGCTTCTTCTTCAGCTTGGAGATCTGCTGCTCCACCATGGTGATCTCACGGTCCACACGGTCCATGTTCTGGATGAGCTCCTCCTTGGACAGCCGGGCCGGCAGCAGGTCCAGCTCAGCGTCAGGGTGAGCAGGGCTCACAGGCGACACAGGCTCCAGTTTGCCAGGCAGGCCGCGATCCTGGGGAACATAAAACAACCAGGTCATCTCTCTCCCAGGAGACTCTGGATCCTTCTCTTATCCTGCCACAGCTCCCTGGCCCATTCCCAGCCTTCTGAGATACACGAAATCCTCAAAAAACCTGCCAGACTAGGGAGTACCAGCTGTCAGATCACGTCACCTCCACAACCTCCAGCATCTCCACAGAGCACCAGGTTACTCTCCCAGGGATGTGACAGCAGCTCTTCCTCCTGCCAGAGCCTCAGAGGCTCCCACCACCTTGAGTACTACCTGCATTCCTACAGGATCAATAAACACATCCATATTCAGAAGCTCTCAACAACACTGTCCCTTCATAGGGCTCAGGGCTACATCTTCTCCATAAGAATGAGGTATCACAGACACATCCTCCTCGGACACAGCCACAGCTGTGAGATAAGAGCAGCATTAACCACAGAGATGGAGAAGGGGCTATGAGGGCAGCCCCTGGGAGGAAAGAGAGCTTCCAGCTCCTTCATGGAAGCCCTCCTCCATCTCTTGTTAAACTCTGGGGGTGCTCCAGTTGTTGGATGTTAAACGCATCCATCTGGAAATGGAGAGAAAGGGCACAGGCGAGTCAAGATAAAAATAGACTGAACTGACAACTTTTTGCAAATTCCAGGGGAAGAGGCTCTCAGGTCAAAAAGAGCTTTCAAGTCAGAGACTGGAGAGATCAGCAAAACCTCCATGGCCACGACAGGGAGCAGCTCTACTGGCCATGGTCTGGAGGGAAAACGCACCGAAACATTCAGCTTTGCCCCCAGCAATGCAACAACTTTGCTGAGCCCAAAAAGTTGGTATCCCAGGAGCATCCCAGAGCCACGCCATCCCTCCTGCACACCTCCCTTCACCTCTCCAGCTCCAAGTGAAGGAACCCATCTCCTGCCAACACAAGCTGCATGCCTGGATGAGTCTGCCCACCATGGATGAATGCACCTGGGATGAAGAAGCTGTTTAATAGCCACCGGCCACAGAGATGGGGATCACAGCAAACCATCAGCCTACCCTGACCCGGGACGCTCCTCTCTGGCAGCCATCCAACACCTTAATTAAAAGTTTATCTATTCATTTGCTTAGCGAGCGGATGGATTTCTTTTCCTGGAGGAGGAGGAGGAAGAGGAGTGGTGGCTCCGTTTGTAACCATAAACCGCTGCCAGGCTGGGCAGCCAGCACGTCGCAGCTGCTGTAGGGAGGAGGGGAGGGATGGGGGGAGGCGAACAAGGGAAGAAGTTCACACAACTTTGCTACCTTCATTACAGCAGCCCTGTACAAAGCCAACATTGTTCTGCTCCAACTGGTGCTGAGCGTCCTCCCCTCTGCACTGACACAGCCACTGGCGAGTGGCCAGGGCTGACCCTCTGCCCAGGTTGGTTCTCCTGCGGGGCAAGGGTGCCACAAACGAGCTTGGATGGTGGCTCGTGGACCCCTCTGTGCTCCCCCATCCAACAAAGCACATGGATGATGGCCCTGGGTTGTTCACTGGCCGTGTGGCAGCTCATGCCGAATGTGGCGAGCGTGCAGATGCCACCTTGGCGCCGTTCGGCATCTCAACAGCATGTGCTTACTGTGAAGCAGAACCAGGCAGGGCGGCCTCCCTCCTGCTCCTGTCCTAGTCAGCATGAAGCATGGTGAGCTCTCTCCTGGGAGGCTGCACCCACAGCCCAGTAGAGCCACAGGGAGCTGGCTTTGAAGGCAGTCCCGGTCTGCTGGGGCTGTGCTCAGATGGGCTCTGCCCTGTTTCCCTCCATAAGGGATGGACAACATCATCCACAGCACAGCTGGAACAAGGGGAGACAAAAGAGGATGGTTCCCAACAAAGTGGCCATGTCCCAGGACACCAGCATTGTTCACTGGCACCTTCCTCCTTCTCTCTCCTGCTAAAACCTGCTCTAGTTGGAGGAGACATCAAAACATCAAGAAGGGAACCACTGTTGGATGCAGCCTCAAGGCACCAATGCTCTTCCCACTGCTGCCATCAAGGGACAGAAAGCAAAGGAACACCCAAAAACATCATCCTCGCTGCCTTGTCTGGGGCTCATCCAGCCCCATGAGCACAAAGGCACTGGAAAGCTAAGCTGGTTGTATCCAGCATCCACCCAGAAGAGAAACTAGAAGAAGAGCATCAAAGCTTTCTGGAGAATTCCAAAGAGCAGATCCCATATTGTTATACTTTCACAGCATTAGACATCAAAAATGGTCAGTCTGCTGCAGTAGAAAGGGTTTGTGTTCTCCACAACTGGGGGGGTTTTGTGGTTTTGGTTTTTTTTTTTCAAGTCAAGAGGAGCAGGACAACCACAAGAAGCAGAAGATAAATTAAGTGTTCATAAAATCTCATTCAGATTAAGGTACAGGAAGAGGAAGTGGCAGTGGCTTGTAGGTGGGTAGGTTTTTCTAAAGGAAAGCAAGCTACCTGCCAAAAATGTAGGAGAGAAAGGTTCCTCTCTGTGCACATGAAACAAATGATACTCTCACATCTCTGCCAATACGCAAGACAGGGCATTTTGAAACTTTTACTTGGCACAAAACCCCTTTGAAACCTGGTTCCTGATACATTTTTATCTTTTTACATTGCAGAATATGAAGCAAAAGAGCAGCAAAGCTAAGTAAGAGAAATAGCTGCAAGTCACAGCCTAAACAACATGATCATCATCATCTGGTATTAGGACATGATTATATCAAAAGAGAGAGGCAGTGTCCCTCACATAACTGGGCACTGTCATGTCACAAGCACCTCTCTAAATCAAGGGAATGACAAGCAACAAGAGGAAGGAAAAACCAAAACTGAAGGGAAAAAAAAATCTTGCCCATGCAATGATGTCCAAAAAGCAGAGCTCCCAGATTTATGCAAGGCATGAAGCTGCCCTTCTTCTAAATCACAAAAATGGGTTGAAAAGAGGTTTGCAAAGACCAGAATCCACCCAGAGCCTGGGGCAGACTCCAACTGTCAGAGGTATTTCAACTAGTGCTCTGTTTCCTACTGCTCTCAAGAAATGGCTCAAAATATATTCCCCTGCTCCAGACGGTGTCATACCCGGGCTCTGAACAAGTGCAGTGTGAAACGTGAAATTCTTCTTATTAACGTGAAGTCACAGACTTCCAAACCAGCAAGAGCTGGGAGAGCTGGAATAAATCTGCTGGAGGGAAGAAAACAATTACCGCATTACTCAAGTTGATATTTTCTCAGTAATTATACTGTTTCCATGTGATTTGTTTTTACACACGGCTAACAGCTACTGCAGCTCCTGTTTATCCCTGGCCTTGTTTTGTGATTTATATGATAACAAGGGTGGGTGTGTGGGGGACAGAGGCTGCATAAACCTCCCCGCAGCAAGAGGAGGTGCTGGCACTGAAGAAAACAATTATCACTGAGGAGGCTGTCAAAGAGCAAGGGCAGGCTTTGGGGTGGGTTTCTTCTGCATGCTTAGGGATAAAAATTGCCAACATAGATAACAGAGCAAGCCTGCTACAAGCTATTAGGCAGTGACTTTAAAAACACGGGAGAAAGAGGGGAAAGGAAAAGGATAAGACAACTGCCTGTTGATGCCTTGGTAAACTTGATATCTCTGCCTTCAGATACACCAGCAACTGAGTCCACAAGAAAAAATACAGTGGGAACCCCAACCCTGTCCCAGGACACAGTGCCCCAAACCACTGCCACCTGCTTATTTTGCATTGCTGACCCACCTCATGATACCCCCAGGGAGCTCATGGGAGTTGCCGGGATGGAGAAGAGCATCTGTGCCATGTTTCAGCTCAGCACCTACAGCTGGATGCAGCCCAGCCTCTGGGAAGGGTCATTTTTCTCAGCTGCTTCCCACCTTCAGGAGATGGCAGATCAGGAGCTCTGCTCCATCCACACCTAACTCTTGCTGCAAAATGCATTTTGACCTTGCTGATCCCTTGACTGCACCAGCTGCCTCTTCAAAACTCCGCAGTGGAGCTTTCCAGCCTCCACACCCCCTCAGTGCATACCAAGAGAACAGAGCCACTTGCCTGGGACAACCCTCAGGATCTCCTGCACGGCACACAGTGTTTGCCCTACATATCATCTTCAGGAAGTCCAGGTCTCTCCCTGCCTTTCTAATCCAGATCATTAGCGATGTTCCCCCAAGCCCAGGACAGAGATTTAGGGATGCCAACATCATCTCTTCCACAGTCTGTTCACTTTCTAATTATCAGCCAGCAGCAGCAGTTTCCTGCTGGAGCACCAGGAGGGATTAAGAGGTGTTATCTCCAACTCCTGCCCACTCGCACATCTCGTGTCCTCATGGGTTGGAGAAGATTGCCAAAGCAGGCAGGATAGGCTGGGGTTGCTCAATTTGTGCTCAAATTAATTCCCAAAAAACCTATATGAATTTGTGATTAGTGGGCTCCCTCAGAGGGGTACACATCTGTCACTAGAGTCTCTCACAGCAGCACTGAGCCAGTGAACATCCCAGCATTCCACCAACCAACATCCCTCCCAAACCCCCATCCGTGTGAGACTGTGCCACATGGCAGAGCCAGCAGCTCATCCTCCCTGTTCAGGAGCCCACGGATGAGCAGCATCACACTCTGAGCAAGCAATGAGCCCCAGGGCTTTCCCACACTCCCTGGGACAAGAGCTGAGCAGGAAAGTCAACACCCCACACCTCCATCCATCAGGTTTTAAGGTAAAAACAGACATATAAAACTTTTAAATGGGCCAAATACAAACCAAAGGAATCTTTTTTTTTTAACTGGAAAAGTGTCCACCACATTCTGACGTATCAGCAGCCCCAGGATGACAGCACTGACAGGAGGAAAATGGGGCTGAAAAATAACGTGTTGTCTCCCCGAGGAGACGCACAAGTAGGAAGTCAGGGAGCCCGAGCAGTGAAAAAGTACATCGAGTTACTGCAACTCTTTTGTTCGCGGCCATCTGCTCTGCTAATGACTCTTTCAGCAGCCCAGCCCTTCAAACGAGGTTTTAATTCTTAAATACTGCTGGGCTCTTGCTGGGC